ATGGGGCAAAGAAAATATCTGGAAGTGTTCAAGAATTTCCTGAAATGATAAAAGGAACACACCATAAGTCTTTATCATCCCAGAGGGATAAAACAAAACAAACTGTACCTAAGCACATCACAGTCCAACTGTCAAAAACTAAGGGTAAAATGGAAAATCTCTTTTGTTTTTTAAGGTTATTTATTTATTTTGAGAGAGAGAGGGAGAAAGAGTACAAGTGGGGGAGGGCCAGAGAGAGAGGGAAGAGAGAGAATCCCAAGCAGGCTCCCTGCTGTCAGCACAGAGCCTGATGCAGGGCTCGAACTCATGAACTGTGAGCTCATGACCTGACCCAAACCAAGAGTTGGACACTAAACCGAATGAGCCACCCAGGCGCCCCAAGATAAAACTGAAAATCTTAAGCACAAGTGGGGGAAAAAGACACATTATGTTCAGATGAGTAACAATGAGACTGACATCTCAGAAACAGAAGACAAAGGCATCCTATAAATGCAGAAATGAATAAAATGCTCAGCATAGAGGACTATATTTGGCAAAAAAATATCCTTCAAAAACCAAGGTGAAATAAAGACATTATCAGAAAGACAAATGAAGTGAATTTGTTGCCGTCACTCCTGCACTACATGAAATGATAAAACAAGCTGCTTCGGCTGAAGGGAAAAGACATCAGAGACAATCCCAGACCTGTAGGAAGGAATACAGATACCTGTATATACAGATATTTGTATAAACATAAAGCAGTATTTTATGTGCATACACACATGCATACTCAAGTTACTTTAAAAAGTCAATACCGTTTAAAGTAAAAATAACAAATATTTGGGGTTAAAACTGTATGTAAAATTGAGCTATAAGACAAGGACTACACGGGTGGGAGGATGTAAATTGAATTATGCTGAAGAAAGTTACTATGTTGTTCATGAATAAATATTACTTGAAGACACAGGTGATAAGTTAATGGTGCATACTGTAGTCGCCAGGCTAAGCAATAAACAAAATAACACAAAAGTAGAGCTTAAAAGTCAATAATACTCAAAATGCTCAACCTACACAAAGTACAACAAATCTCATTAGGATAATGAAAAATCCACACACAAACGTACTAGAATAAGATCTTAAAAATAGTCCAAAACACACAAATTTACTTTAGATGTCTGACAAATTAAAAGGTGGGTTTTCAATAGTATAATATAGTGAATGCTTTCAATGTTTTAAAACAGAAGAACTTCCAACCAAGAGTTGTATACACAGTGAAAAAGTTCATTTATATTTCAGAAAAACCAAAGTGAGAATTTTCCACCAGCAGATCCTCACTAAAACAAGGAAACAACCAGAATAAAAACAATAATTATAAGGGCACTTGGGTGGCTCAGTCGGTTAAGTGGCCGACTTCAGCTCAGGTCATGATCTCAGTTTGTGAATTCGAGCTCCACGTCGGGCTCTGTGTTAACAGCTCAGAGCCTGGAGCCTGCTTCAGATTCTGTGTCTCCCAATCTCTGCCCCTTCGCTGCTCATGGCTCTGTCCCTCTCTCTCTCAAATGTTTAAATAAACGTTAAATTTTTTTAAAAAAAAAACAGTAATTATAAAGGATGTTTTCAAAGAGAAAAATTTATGCCAATACAACTTTAGGGATAAAAAAGATCTAATTTGACCAAAATGGCTATGAACAAATAAAAAGATACAGGATCTGCAGAAAATGAACTTTTCTAAGAGTTGGTCGTGATGACTGTACTCAAAGTTACTTCAAAAAACAAAAAGGCTCGCTAGTCATTTGTGCTGTCCCAAACTGACCGTTCAACTCAGCAATTAGTTACAGAGCCTAACACAGGGGAAACACTGTAGCACCGTCGAGTGAATTCTGGATCAGGAGAATGGCACATAGATACACATTCAAAACTGACAGAAGCACAACTGTAGAGTAGGTAAGTTTGGTTTTGTTTGTTTTTTTTTTTTTTGAGCTTCCTCCTACGTTATTTCTCCCTCTTTCCAAAGCCTCTTTCTCCCACTATCATGCCCAAAAGCTATGATTTTTAGTTAGTAACAGATAATGTCTACATAGGGGGGGTGCCTGGGTGGCTCAGTCGGTTGAGCATCTGACTTTGGCTCAGGTCATGATTTCACAGTTCGTGAGTTCAAGCCCCGCATCAGGTTCCACGCTGACAGTGGGGTTCTCTGTCTCTGTCTCTGTCTCTCTCTCTCCCTGCCCCTCCCTAGCTTGCTCACTCTGTCTCAGAATACATAACAAACTTAAAAAAAAGAATCCAATACCAACAAGCCCTGTGTAATAACTGGCTGTAAAATGTCTGGGGCACTGGGTGGCTCCGTCAGTTAAGTGGCCAACTCTTGGTTTTGGCTCAGGTCATGACCGCACGGTTCATGGGTTCAAGTCCTGCATCAGGCTCCACACTGAAGCTGGGGGCCTGCTTGGGATTCTCCCTCTCTCCCTCTCTCTCTGCCCCTCCCCTGCTCATGCTGTCTCTGTCTCTCTCAAAATAAACAAACTTAAAAAAACTTCAGCTTAAAAAAAAAAAGATTGGGGCGCCTGGGTGGCTCAGTCAGTTGGGCGACCGACTTTGGCTCAGGTCATGATCTCGCAGTCTGTGAGTTCGAGCCCCGCATTGGGCTCTGTGCTGACAGCTCAGAGCCTGGAGCCTGTTTCAGATTCTGTGTCTCTGTCTCTCTCTGACCCTCCCCCCTTCATGCTCTCTCTCTGTCTCAAAAATAAATAAACATTAAAAAAAAATTAAAAAAAAAAAGATAATGTCTGTTCAAAAAATTTATGATACAGTAGAAATACCATGTCAGAAGTTGGGCTGTGATGGTTATGTAAGACTGAGTATGTCAAGTGCTTACCAAAGGGCTGGGAATTTAAAACAAAGATATGGTTACCACAGAACTCAGCATTCATTTTTCTCTGGGTAATGAATGGTGAGAGGAGATTAAGGTGGGGCACACAGGGGCTTCCAAGATACTAGTAATAGTCATTTCTTAAGCCAGATAGGGGATACAACTGTGTTTCATTAATATTCCCTAAATTTTACATATACATTATGCACATTATTTTGAATGACTTTTAACTAATTAACTAACTAACTAACTAAATAAATAAAATTGAAATTCAGTGTTTCTCCAGCCCACAAGGTCCTAGATATTCTAGCCCCTTCTACGTCTTTGATTTTACCTCTAGGTCATTCTTCCCTAGGTTGCCTCTAGCTTCAATGTCTTGAATACTGTTTCTGGAACACGCCTCAAGGTGCTTGTATTTATTGTTCTTCCTATCTAGAATGCTCTTCCCCAAGAATTGTACTTGGTTCCCTTATTTAATTTAGGACATTTCTCAAATATTACTTTAAAAAAAAATTTTTTTTTTAATGTTTATTTATTTTTGAGACAGAGGGAGACAGAGCATGAACAGGGGAGCGGCAGAGAGAGAGGGAGACACAGAATCTGAAGAAGGCTCCAGCTCTGAGCTTTCAGCACAGAGCCCGACGCGGGGCTCGAACTCCCGGACCGTGAGATCATGACCTGAGCCGAAGTCGGACGCTTAACCGACTGAGCCACCCAGGCGCCCCTCAAATATTACTTTTTAGAGTGGCGTTCCCCAATCAACTTATCCCCTGTTCCTCACTTCTCTGTATCATGCTGTCCTTGTAACTGCTTGTTTACCTCTGAGCACATACACGAGGAATATCACTCAAATGCTGACACATATAGAAAATATATCACATTTATTCGTATCCTCACCAATCTCCCCGGAAAAATCTTATATATTAGAAGTTGTCTGCTTCACAGCGGAGGATACAAGTTTTCCAAAATTTTAAGTTTCACTTGAAACCTCAACTTTTTTTTTTTTAATTTTTTTTTTAATGTTTATTTATTTTTGAGACAGAGAGACACAGAGCATGAACGGGGGAGGGTCAGAGAGAGAGGGAGACACAGAATCTGAAACAGGCTCCAGGCTCTGAGCTGTCAGCACAGAGCCCCGACGCAGGGCTCGAACTCACGGACCGTGAGATCATGGCCTGAGCCGAAGTCGGACGCTTAACCGACTGAGCCACTCAGGCGCCCCGAAACCTCAACTTTTAACATTGGCAATAAATACCAAGAGTCATTTTCCTTGAAGTGACAGGCTCACTTCAGCCATTTTTGGGAAAATGGTAAATACTTCTCCGAATAACTATAGTTTGTCTGACAGTTGCTCTTTCAAGCAAAAAAGGTGGCTAGGAGAGCTCACAAATCAGTTGCACAAGTGCTTTTCCTAAATGACCAACCATCATTCCTCAGTATGCAGCAAAAAGAACTGTATGTGCACTTCCCATTTGGTCATACTGAATAGTAAAAAGGGGTGTGTTTGGGGGGGCGCCTGGGTGGCTCAGTTGGGTGTCCGACTTTGGCTCAGGTAAGGATCTCACAGTTCATGAGTTCGAGCCCCACATTGGGCCCTGTGCTGACAGCTCAGAGCCTGGAGTCTTCTTCGTTTGGATTCTGTGTCTTCCTCTGTATCTGCCCCTCCCCCACTTGCACTGTCTCTCTCTTTCCAAAATGAGTATTAAAAAAAAAAAAGATGGGTATTCGGGGGGTCAAAATGTAATAAAATTAGTTACTTTTACTGTTTCATCAAGGCTGTCCTTAAGTGAAGGTGAATTTTTTACTGTTGAGTACAGTGTTGAATACAATCACCTGCTATCATTGTCTCATTCATGTCCAACAGCAATCTATTCACCACTGCTTTTACACCATCAGTGTAAAAGGCAATTTGCATCTTAGTATTGGGTTCTGACCTGATACACTCCTTTGAAAAGGTCTTGGGGAAGCCAGGGGTCTGCATTCTGGAACTGCTGTGTTATTCAAACAGTATTTTCCCTGAAGGTGATTTTTAACTATTTCCACTTTTCTAGTTTAATATATGGGCTCTTTTTCATAAAACTCACTGAAAATACACACACACACACACACACACACACACACACACACAAACAGGGCTAAATAAATGACTCACCTGATACTTGTTCATGTTCTGCAGCTCTTGGGAAAGGATAGAAACTATGAAGCCAGAACAGGGAAAGGTGGAAGACAGAAGTCTTAAGAGACCTTATCTTGCCGCTCAGGAATCACCTGTGAGAAATTTCCATACATTTTAGTCAAACATAAACCCCTAGGAAAATATCCCTTTGAGCCATGAGAAGGAATAGAAAGGGGCATGATAAAGGAATACCCACCTGTCCACTGGTGACTCTGATACAACCTCGATGAATCTGGGAAATTTTTGAGTGAATCTAAACATTTCTTTCCTACTAGCTGTTTTGCAAATTATGTACCCATTTACTAAATAATACAAAAGAATTGAAAACTTAAACATCCAATAAGAGCAAGTTAGGCAAAATGTATAACACATATCCAAAGTGTGGATCCCTATGCTGGCATTACAAATGATGTTGAAAAGAACTGATAAAGAAGTGTTTGTTACATAACAATTGTTCCTATTAACATTATAAACCCCACGAAGTTAGAAAGTCTTCAGAGCTCTCAAAAATTAACATGTCTCTTCTCCCTAAATTGCAGTTTCTCAAAAATCACTTCTCTAAGACACCAGTTTTGACTTAAGCATGGTGCAGTGGACCTGGAGACTTTGGTTCCGTGCTAGTCTCTGGCATTAACAAACCTAGTGACTTCGTTTCAGTGGTATTATATTTAACGTGAGGAGGGATTAGATCTAATTTTTAAACTTTCACGTACCATTTTGATTCTGTAAATTTTCACTCAGTGCCACAATCCCAACAGTACCCTGGAATTCACTGTCCCCTCCAAGCCTGGGCTGGGCCAAGGGTAAAATTTAATTAGGCCTCGAAGAATTATGACAGGGACACAAATCTAACTTCTAAAATAACAATTTGACACCATAAATCCCAGAACAGGCCCTTGATGTAGGTAAGCAAAAGGTAACTAGATGCCATAATGCTGAGATAGCAGAAAGCTCTTCCCGATGGCCTGATGCTTACAAAATGCCTAATAATAAGCCCAGATACACCAGCCAGAGGCATTATGATAGCACCTTAATAACACGGAGCAAGGATGAAATTCTAGTTTTTGTCTTTTTAACAAAGTGTGTCCCATTCCCCCTCTAGAAAGTAGTCTCCGGCTTGGAGAGGATTCCCAGCTTCTCCAATAATATGTAAGATTCAGGGCTCAATTTACATGTGTAACAGTCCTCTGAGAATACAAATAGGTTGGAGAATGAGGGAAGGGCCTCAATTATCCTTTTGACACAAGGGTTCTGAGGAAACCTCAAGAATTTTTGTTAATTGAATACTAGGTTAGGTCCATTACACTCCACAGTTATGCTTAGGGACAATTATTGTACTAAATACAGCCCAAGGCTGTAGGAAACCGCATGAACCAAAGAGTAAATAAAACGAATTTACCCACCCCCGTCACCGCTAACGCTGAGTAAACCAATCAATTTCCGACCTTTCGTACTCCTGTTTATTAAAATGGAGGTGGTTAATGCCGATTCAAAGGATGGTCATGATGATTATGATTAAATGAGCCAAGAATGAAAAGAACAGCATACCTCGGTAATAATAAAAGCAGCTCACCTTTATTGAGTCCTTATCAAACTTTATATATACGGCCCTATTTAATACAGCAAACAACCCCAGTAGTTAGTGTGGTTATTTTACAGATGAATGTCCGAGTCGTACCCAGGTCATCCTGCCCAGTTAAGTGGCGGGCACCGGACGCGCGCAGGTCCCCCGGGCTGACACCGCCGCGGCGCCGACAGCCACGCCAGCAGCCACGCCAGCGCGGACGCGGCGGGCCCGGGGTCCACGTCACGACAGCCGTTCCCCCCGCGTCCCTCCCCGCTGCTCCCGCGCCCCAGGCCAACTCGGGCCGCCCGGCTCCGCAGGTCGAGAGCCAGGCTTCTGGGGAGGGGCGGCAGGTGGACAACGGGCTTCCCCGCCAAGCCCCCTGCCCGGCCCCCTCCCCAGTCCTCGGAGGCCAGCCGGGCGCTCAGAGGGGGGCGGCGCCTTCCAAGTTCTCCGACTCGTCGCAGCCGCGAAGACCCGGCTTCCCCCCGCCCCCGGCCTCGCACCCGCAGAGAGGCCTCCGACACACCTGCAGGGGCTCGGCCACCGCTCCCGGCCCGCGCAGGTTCCAGGCCCCGCCCTCTGCCGCACCGCGGAGACCTGCAGGCCCCGGAGTCCTATGCCGCCCTGGGGCAGGAGACAGAAGATGGCGACTATCAAAAGGAGGTGGAATTGCGCATGCCCAAAAGCCCCGCGCGCCTCACTCTGGAACTACGCTTCCCAGAAGCCTCGATCGCAACTCCATTTTGGATGACATATGATAATATGGCCTGGCCTCCTCCAGCCGCCGGAGCGCTGCTGGGATTTTTCGGGACGCTCCCCCCGTGATTACTCACAGTGACAGCTGGTGACAAGTGGCAGCCCGCAGTCAGGGGGCTTGAAAACAGATAACTACCCGGAAGCGGTGCGAATATTGATCAAGTACTTGAAACCAAGTACAACAATACATTCAAATAATGTCCACTAACATCTGACTTTTATTTTAGGAATGCTAGTTTTCAAAATTATGCAAATGACACGTGAAATTTGTAATAAGGAGAAAATACGTATAGGCTAAAACAGAAAACTAGTACCACACATACCATTGCCCAAAAGAAAGAAAAGTTTAATGTGAGTGCACAGTCTGAGATTTTTTTTTTTTACTCATTTTATGCTAATAGTATAAAATAACTCCTTTCACTAGGGAATATGCACTGAATATGCAGTGATTTCCTGGTCAGTCACATTATGACATTAACTTAGTTCTGTGCCAACAGAAATAAATTTCCATTCAGTGTAATGACAAAAAAAAATTTTTTTTGGTAAGATTAACTTTAAAACCTAAAATCCATGTAGACAAAATATACATACACATTTGAGTATGTGTATATTATGTATACATACACACATAGCTGGCTCGCAGGGTGGAGCAACTGGATGTGGGAGTCCCAAACAGACCAGGTTCAGCCACCAATTGCTGAGAAAATCCAAAGGCAGAGAGACCAGCGGTAGTGAAACAAGAAAGGAATTTACTTTTAGTGAGGCTAACACTGGGAAGACAGCGGACTAGCATCTCAAAGACTGTCCCCCAAGTGCTAAAAATCCTTCCAGGTTTATTTTTCAAAATGTGGGGCAAAGGATGGTGGGTACTGCAGGGAGGCAGTGAGAGTCGAATGATCACTGTCTTGGAGTCAAACATGGGTGGGGTCTTGCAGGCTCGGGGTAGTCCTTATTCCTTAAAAGGGTACTGTCAGGTTTGGGGGGGGGGTGGATGCTTGGTCCTCAGGGTCCTCCACCTGAGCCATGAGACCAGTTGCAAAGAAGGATGCGACTAGAAAATCTGAGGTCAAAATGGAGGCAGCCCAAGTCCTCTTTCATATACCCCAGTGTTCTGGATGGGAGGTGTTGGAAAAATAATTAAAAATAAAGGGTCATCTTAATTCTGCCTAAACGAGTGATTTCAGATTTTGGCCTGCAGAACCATGGATGTAGTTACTATTTACCGATGAAGGATAATTCACCCATAGATATACAAGTATTTTTACACAATAAATGTATCATTTTTATTTACTGTTATATTTTATAACTATATATATATATATATTTCTTTTTTTGTAACTGTTTTATATATTAAAGTACCTGCCTTATTCTCAAGAGAGTCTGTGGTGGTCACTCCCACAAGCGATGGACACACACAAATATACAAGTCATACAGAAATAACCTCTTTAACAAAAATGCATACACCCAGACTCACTGACACAATAAATACACTTACATAGCCTGACTGGAATGATGTCTATTTGAGTCCTTACCTTGTGACAGACACTGTCATATCTCCATGAATACATACATACGTTTCATAGATTGCACCATGTTACTGGCGTGTGTGTTGTTATTTTTTATTTCGGAATATATTTTGAATATCCCTTGTATGATTTAGTATACTTCTACTTTATCACATTTATTTTTTTTAAGTTTATGTATTATTTTGAGAGAGACAGAGTCTGAGCAGGGGAGGGGCAGAGGGAGAGAGAGGGAGACAGAGAATCTTAAGCAGGGTACTCATGGTTCCATGCACAGAGCCCGACATGGGGCTTGAACCCACAAAACTGTAAGATCATGACCTGAACCGAAATCAAGTGTCAGATGCTTAACCAACTGAGCCACCCAGGTGCCCCCACTTTATTACATTTAAAGGCTGCTGCTTGTTATTGTACTTCATGGATTAGCATATTTACCATAAAATCTACTGAATATTTGTATCGACTCAACTAAACTGTGAAGGACATTCTTTATATAAATCTTTGAATTATATTAGCATATAACCCAATAAGTGGAATTACTCGAGTGAATTATTGCTTATTTAAAATCTTTTTTATTAAAGTATGCATATATTTGCTGGCTTATTAAAAAAAATATTGCGTCCTTAATTTAGAAAAGTTATTTTCCTTTTCTTCAATTTCGAGACAAACTCTGCTTGGTAGAGATGTTATTTTTTTACTGTATTGCTGGATTCCATTTTTTAACATTTTAATTAAATCCCCTATTCACAAGAACTGATAACTGATACATGTTTTCCTATTAGTTTTGTGTCTAAATGATACTCCCAGTTCTTTTTACTTTTGCAATCTTTTATTGAAGTTTCTATTTTCAATCACAGAAAAAAGGGAGCACTCACATACCATTGTCTATATTGGACAAGTTTCACCTTTTGCCGTATTTGCTTTATCTTATGTTTGCTGAAGTATTTTAAAGTAAGTTAGGTATATTTCACTCCTTAATACTTCAATATGTATCTCTAAAACTAAGTACATTCTTTAATAGCGCATCTATACTCAAATTCCCATAATTGTCCGCAAATGTCTTTTAAAGATTTTTTTTTCCAAAACTAGGACGCAGTAAAGGACCACAAATTACATTTAGTAGTTCTATGTAGGGCCAGAACCACAGACCTGCCATAGTAACAATCCCCATACCCTTTGAATGGGATAGGTTTATTTACATTTTTATTTACAGGAGTGCACGCGAAGGATTATGGTAGACGTAGTCTTGAATTTTATTTGCTTACCCAGCAGTACTTGCGCCCTAGCCGTGGAGAGTGCTGCGCAGGCGCAGCTCCGCCATCTTCCTGGTACCCCTCCTACGCCTACAGGTTTAGCGAAGCCCTATATTCCGTTTCCAGATTTCCCAATAACTCTCAAGGTCCTGGTTGCCCACCTTCCTAACAGCAGAGGTTAGAGCGTGGGCCGGGTGGGAAGCGGCGTTGACCCGCGGTGGGGAGGAGCGGGACCCCAGACAGCGGGCAGGGGCGTCTAGGTCCGGACCATTGGCTTGGGTTCGAATGGCCCCCCAGCTCTAAGAGGGTGGTTCTGCCGGTGCGTCCGCGGGACGGGGGTGGGGGGCGTGCGCATGCGTGAGGGTGCGCTCTGCTTGCGTGGAGAGCCCCGTGACTTTTGAACTTGGCTGACAGCTCTGTAACCAGTGCCGTGAACGTCATCACCTTTGTTTTTGTCCTCAGTGGCCCCAGTATCTAGAGGGACAAGAAGTTCCAAGAGGTGCGGATTTGGGGTCCTGGGTGAAGGTTCCAAATATGAATTTGCCTCCTAATCTTATATCCTAATTTCTAAAGAACCTGTGGGTTCTTGTGAGGTTAAAGACCTGGGTCTCCAGAAACAAATCGCATCCTCAAGAGACCCTTGGGACTTTTGATCCCTCCCCAGAGTTTCAGTCCCAGAAAGGGGTAGATCCTGGAACTGCAGGGCATAGCATAGGAATTTTTTGTTTTCCTGTTGCGTAAGGTGCCACTGTAACCGAACTAACCTGAGTTCACTCCTTGGCGAGTGACAGATGCAAACTACACCAGGTCGAGTCGTACAAAGGAAAATTTGCAGCAGATAAGGAGCTCATGAGGCATAACTTTCAAAGCCTTGACTCCCTGAGTAAGGTTGAAGGGGTTCCTTTTATTTAGAGTTAGGATGAATATTTAGAAAGGGGATCTTTGTCATTGTATTGTAGATGGAGTAAGGTCCTGCAGTCGCCTTAAGGCAACCTACCTATACTCACACACTTTCTGTGTTATGTAAATGGTACTCCTATTTGAACCAAGATGTTAGTATTATAATATGGTGGTTGCCGCACTTCTAGAGGTCACTCCATGATCCCACCTGCTCAGGGTTAAGCTCAAAGTGGTCCTGGCGGTGTTGGGGCAGTTGGTATTGGGGCATTCGCTATCCCTTGACAGGTGATTCCAATTTCCATTTGCCTGCGTTTAGAGAAGCCGGAAAGAGCTTAAGGAAAAATGTGGGACAGAGATTGGTGAGTACAAGCTGGTGAACAGTAAAGGTTAGGTGTTAGGGTCTAGCAGGTGACAAATCTCTCCTCTAGTTTTTTTTTTTTTGTTTTGTTTTTTCCTCTTCATTCTTGAGGGGCACAGGGCAAAGGTCCATCTTCTGTAGTTGTTTCCTGGTGGACATGGGCTTGGTCATTAGGATTGTTAGTAGAACAGAATTTTCCCTTAGCTCATTTTAGATATGTCTGTGGATCACCAGGTTTAACCTCAAACTACTCATATATTTGTGTTATGACCATCTGTAATTTTTGGCCCTCATGAATTTGCATATGAATTGTACCAGCCAGTTAACTGTGCAAGGTCCAAACAGCAGTAACAGCAGTCGGATTATTAGTGGCCACAAGAAAAGGTGATCAACAAATTAAGGTATACATACCATGGGTGTCCTGGGTGTGCACAGGCTTTGCAGGCTCTACTAAGGTAAAGCCAGTTAACCAGTTTTGGGCTCCAGGAGACTAGGGTCCATTCCCTGTATTACTTCGTGATTTACTGGATCTCAGGCCCTCATCCTCAATGCCTTGGGTGGCAAATAAAGCAGTTCCCAAACCCTCTAGGTCTGGCCAGTCCTGTTCATGCTCTCCATTTGATTTTTCCATGTCCCAGCAGTACTGTGATATTTCTTTTCTGCACACTAATGGGTTTTGTTTGGAGAGCAATCATCATTAACGTCAAAGGTAAAAGGAACTATAGTTGTTGGGACTTGGCTGTCATTCCCTATCTCAGGAGTATACTTGTAGCATGGCTTTTGCTTTGAGGTGGAATTTAAGTATCATGTTATCCTCTCTGCATCATTAATAACTGGAGTAAGGTGGACACTTCGAATTGCCCTGTGGGAATGGCTTAGTTGTATAGCTATGGAAGGGGGGTTTTCAAAGGATTTAGGGGAGCTCATAATGAAGTTAATGTTATGGTCATTTTTTATCGGGTGGAACACAGGCCATACGGTTCTTTAGTTTGTTTCCATTTGCTATGATCCTTCTTATATCTACTAGAGAATTTCGCTCCCAGGGATGCTTCTCTGTGTTTATGGCTTTTGACATCTCTAGCATATTGGTGACAAGAACTAGTATTAAGAGGGTATTCATTATAAAAATCAGAACAAAGTAGATTGGGCTAGATCATTAATAATCACGGAGATAATGATGGTCTATTATGGGACCTGACAGCAAACAATACAGGCTGAAGAAAAAAAAAAGTATTTAGAGTTGGGAAGCCTTTTTCTTTTCTTTTTTAAGTTTATTTATTTTAGAGAGCGAGTGAGCGAGGGGTAGAGAGAAGGAGAGAGGGAGGGAGAGAGAATCCCATGCGGGCTCTGCACTGTCAGCGTGGAGCCTGAAGTGGGCTGGAGCTCACCCGAAGCGGGGCTCAAAGTCTCAAACTATGAGAGCACAACCTGAGCCGAAGTTGGTCGCTTAACCGACTCAGCCTCCCAGATGCCCGGAGAACTCTTATTCTTTGAGGCTGCACTTATCTTGTGTCTCTGGAACAGAAGTTTCAGGCCCTCGAGTGGTTAACTGGAGTCTCTGTTGTCATCTGGCACTGGTAGCGTCTCCTTCTGGGTCTCTGGTGCAGACACCTTCTTTACCATGGTGGATCTAAGGTACGACTCCCTCTAATTTTAAGGAGGGTGTGTGGTTCATAGTACTGGGTGGGGCCCTGTCCATATAGGGTATAGGTGATTCTGAGGTGCCCCACTTTTCCAAGTTTGAGGTACACCCAGTCCCCAGGGTAAAGCTTGATCTCATTGGCTAGAGGGAGGCCAAAATTCCCATATTTGTTGAGCATGTCCATCACCTGTCAGGGATTAAGTATATGCTTAGTGTCTACAGAAACCTCTGGGTCTGGAGGTAAAAAAAAATCAGAACCTTTTGGGAAGGGCCTCTTGTAAGTCATTTCAAATGGGCTGAGCTTTAGTTTGTCCTTTGGGGCAGCTCTCATTCTGGTGAGAGCTATTGGTAGTATCTTTAGCCAGTTTTCCTGTGTTTCCTGGCATAACTTTGCCAGGGTGTTTTTCGGGGTTCTGTCAGCACATTCTGTCTTCCTAGAAGACTCAAGTCTCCAAGCAGATTGTCACCTCCACTTGATATTTAAGGTCTTGGCTATCTCAGAAATAATTATTGATGTAAACGTTGACCTGTTATTACTTCGGATTGACCTTGGCAATCCAAATCGAGGAATTATCTCTTATTACGGCCTTTCTTATTTCATTAGCTTTTTCTTTCCTACAGGAAAAGGCGTCAGTCCATCCAGTGAATGTATCTATAAACTCCAAAAGGCATTTAAACCCTCCAGGGGCCATTGGCATTACAGTGAAGTCTGCTTGCCACGCCTCCCCTGGTATTGTCCCCCAGATTTGAGTTGCTCTCACCAGAGGGAGTACCTAAGGTCTGGTTTGTACATTTTGTCCAGCAATAGGCACATTGGTTTGTTATTTTCTCAATAATTTCTTTCACCTTCAGGATGCTCATGATCTTTATTAACCACAGGTATAAAGCTCCTTTACCATAATGGGTTGAGTCGTGTGCACTCTTAGGGAGGCCCCAGGCAGTCAGCTTGGGTACCCAGATTCTTCCATTGTTATTTATCATCCACCCTCTGATTAAGAGACCATTGGTAGCCCAATTTTAAGTCTCCTCTATCTCCTGGGGGTAGGTGGAGAAAACTTATTTAGTGATAGAGACAGAATTAGAGCTAGCTGCAAAATCTCCCTACTTGGCAACCCTTTTTGCGGCTGCATCAGCCAAATTATTTCCCTTTGTTATCTCTGAATTTCCCTTTGGATGGGTTCTACAATGAACCACTGCCGCTTCTTTAGGCTTCTGTACAGCTTCGAGCCACCTGTACATTTCCTTGCCATATTGAATTTCTCTGTGGTTGCTGTAGTCCTCTTTCCCTGCATGTGGCTCCATGGACATGCGTTATAGAGAAGGCATATTTAGAATCAGTGTAAATGGTTAACACCTTGTCTTTACCCAACTGGAATGCTCTGGTTAGTGCGGTTACTGCTGCTGCCGTTTGGGCTGAGGTGCCTGGGCCCAGGCCTTTAGCTTCTCTAGGAGGGTTTAAGGGTACTACTGCATATCCTGCCTTCCTAGTCCATTTTGTGTAAAACTGATTTCTTCTGCACTGGATAGACAGGTTCACTCTTGAGATCTTTGTGGCTAGAGTAAACTTGATCAAACACTTATGGACAATCATGGATAATCATCATCAGGGAGTAGGGTGGCTGGATTTAAGGTGTGACATGGCCTCAGTTGTGTCTGGGGGGCATCTCTCAGCATGGCCTGATATCATAGCATTGTGTTTTGGGACAGCCACTGATACATCCCTTGCTTTCCAGTAAAGTAGAAACCTGTTGTGGGGTCCGAACAGCCATAGGTTGGCACGTAGTTTTTCTTCTTTTATCAAGATACACTGCTACAGCTCTTAGGCAAGGGGGCCAACCCTTGGCCATCATGTCCAATTGCTTAGAAAAATATGCCACTGCTCTTTTTACAGGCCCCAGCATTTGTTTTAATATCCCTACAGTTGCCTCTCATTAACATGCAAATCAAATGGCTTAAGATCTGGCAGCGTGAAGGCTGGAGCCTTCCTAAGCAGGGCTTTAAGTTTATTGAAGTCTTGGCCCCAGGACTTATCGCTTGCAGATGAATCTGTTTCAGATCCCCAAAGCTTATTACTAAGAGGTTTTGCAGTCATCCCCAAAGCAGGACTCCAAACACAGCAAAAGCCAGCCGTTCCCAAAGACTTATGCAGTTGTTTGCGGGTTTTTGGTGGGGCTAGCTGACATACTACCGTTTTTCTCTCTTGGAGGAGGCTTCGCTGTCAGGTTCCTTAGAAATTTGGGCCTTTTCCTTTGAGACCATATACCATGTCTGCCAGGAAATTTAACATGGATCAACTGTTTTTGTCAGAAACTTTCTGGGTGGGATTAGTTATTGAAATATCATCTGCATATTATAATACAGTGCTGTTTTTCTAAATTTAACTCTCTTAAATCTTGTCCCAGAGTTTTCCCAAAGATGGTGGGGGAAGAGTTCAGCAGTACTGTTGTGTTTGATGGGAGCCAGGATCTTCCCACTGAAAAGCAAATAGTTCTTGGAATTTAGGATCTAGTGGGATGCAGAAAAAGGCACCCTTTAGACCTGACACTGTAATATTTGCTGTTACTCAGTAAGTTGGTCAGTAGAGTATAGGGATTGGGTACTATAGGATGTATGTCTCAAACAACTTCGTTGACAGCTCTGAGGTCTTGAATAAATCTGTATTCCCTACTTCTGGCTTTTTAATAGGTAAAATTGGGGTGTTACCTAGGGATCTACATGGCCTAATCAACCCCTGTGTTAAGAAGATCCCTTGTATAGCATCTGGTTTTAAAGGGTATTGCCTTACCTGGGGCCGGCAATCTAGCTGTCTCAATTTTACTTTTACAGATGGGGCGTTAATGGCATGCCCCCACCTGCCCTTACACCCAGACTTTCCAGTTGACTTGGCTTAAGGTTTTTTTGGGGGTGGTGGTGATGGGGTTTTTCTCTCTTTTAAATACTGGCATATGTTGTAATAATGCCATGAATTCGGTTCCTTGGTATCTAGGGAGTTGAATTTGTAATTTGCCCTGTCCTGAACTTAGAGTGACCCCCGTTTTGGCTAAAATATCTCATCCTAAAAGAAGAATGGGACATTCTGGCACAGATAGAAAACAGCGTTTTAACATGTTTTGTCTTATTTCACAAGTCAAAGCCTCTAAGAACTTTGGTATCTCCTTTTCCCGAGACTCCTTTTATATTACAGTTTTTGTTAGAAAGGCTACCCTTCTGGGTGTTCAGTACAGAGAAAGTAGCTCCGGAATCAAGTAAAAATTCAACTAGCTCTCCTCCTATTGGTAAGGTCACCTGGGACTCCTCGTAGGAGATGAGGATCTAATGGTCCAAGACCAGCTGGGGAGCCCCATGGCCCTCTCATACCTTCAGTGAGGGACAAGTGAACAGCTTTGTGCTTCTTCCTTTCTTTCCAAGAACAGTCTGAGCAATCCTGTTTCCAGTACCCTTCCTGCTTACAGTGTGCACATTGATTGGACCCCAACTTTGTTTCTGGTCTCTTGGTCCCGCGGAGGGGGCTGGGAGCACTCGCCCTTGGGGTGTCTTTCCTTCTCTTCCTGTAGGCCGGAGAGCTACCATCAAAGGAGACCTTGCTTTCTCATTTTCTGGTCTTAACGTCTTCCATCACATTCTTTCTATTGAACACCTCAAAAGCTAGTTCTAGAAGCTGAGGGGTTAGTTTTGAGACTCACTGCCAAATTCTGGAGTTTCCTTTGAATGTCTGGAGCAGGTTGAGGTATGAACTAGGTTATTAAGGACCATATAAACTATGCTGAGTCTCGGGGTCCCAGTTTGTATTTCATCTTGAGCAATTTTGCAGCCTTTCCGTAAAGGCTAATGAATTCTCATCTGTCCCGTGTTGAATCTCCCTTAAATTTAAGGGACCAGTTTATACGAGATATGCTTATCTCCTTCATAGCTTTTTATAAATATAATTTATTGTCAAATTGGCTTCCATACAACACCCAGTGCTCCTCCCAACAAGTGCCCTCCTCAATGCCCATCACCCATTTTCCCTTCTCCCCCAGCCCCCATCAACCCTGTTTGTTCTCAGTATTTAAGAGTCTCTTATGGTTTGCCTGCCTCCCTCCCTCTCTGCTTGTAACTTTTTCTTTTTTCTTTCTTTCTTTTTTTTTGTCCCTTCCCTTCTCCCATGGTCTTCTGTTAAGTGTCTCAAGATCCACATATGAGTGAAAACATAGGATATCTGTCTTTCTCTGACTGACTTATTTCACTTAGCATAATATCCTCCAGTTCCATCCACGTTGCTGCAAATGGCATGATTTTATTCTTCCTCATTGCCAAGTAGTATTCCATTGTATATATAAACCACATCTTCTTTAACCATTCATTAGTTGATGGACATTTACGCTCTTTCCATAATTTGGCTATCGTTGAAAGTGCTGCTATAAACATTGGGGTACCTGTGCCCCTATGCACCAGCACTCCTCCATAGCTTTTTCAACGTTTTTTTTTTTTTTTTTTTTTTTTTTTTTTAATTTACTCCATAGATTTTAAGAAAAGCCCTGATATGCCCTAAAATTTGTCTCCCATCATGGGAGTGGGGATCCCACTCAGGGTCAGCTCTTACCACTGCTGCCTCGTTCGGTCTTTGAGGATTTGATCCTGGCTGATTATCAGCTTCTTGTCTGGCTTATGCTAACAAAGCAAATTTCTCTCGTTAAGACAGTGGTTAGCAAAGCTTGAATATCTGCCTACATTGGATTGTTGGTAGAAAAGACACCCTGCATTAACTTTGTAAATTAATCAGGTTAGCCCATAGCCCTTTAGTGTGTGCCTTCCAGTAATACAGGTCTGAGGTAAAAAATGGAATGTGGACATTATAGAGACTCCTGTCTCTTTCAGACTCCCATCGGTCTCTGTCTGTCTCAATGGAAACCTCCCATCCCTGGCTTAAAATTGATCCCTAGTCTGGTAGTGCTATCTGGCAAAGGAGGATAAAGGGATACAGGAGACATAGGGGAAGGTTTGAGGATGTTAGTCAAGGTTTAAGGGCTGGTGCTTATAAAACTGGGGGAGCCAAGGCCTGAGTACCAGAGGAATAAGGCAGAGGCTGATTACGATCTAACGACTTGGAGGAGATGGCAATCTGGGCAAAGATTCCCTGACTTGAGGTTTTCTATAGCAGGTCTTCTCCATCAGAGAATATAGGAAGCATTTTTAGGGTTTTAGGTTCAAACGTCATTTTCCAAATCTTAGAATTCCTTTGCAACCCCACATTTTGATACAATGCCATAAAACGCTGACCATATGAAATCTCTTCCCATTTTCTCTCTTTTACAGAATAAGCTCAGAAGAAAGTCCTATGTTTTCAGGTTAAGGGAGGGTATTTGAATAAATGCTTTCCATTTCTGGAGGTTATAGCCCAACGGCCTCTCCTTCAGAATAGAATTCATCCCTCCCATATTCTGGGATTCTTTCTTAGGGTTTCCTCTTACCCTCCACAAGGTAGTTTATAATGGTTAGTGGTGACACAAATGCCACGCAACCTCACCCACAATATGTATGAGACTCGGTTGACTTAAAACCAGGCTCACAAGGAGAGAAAGTTAATGCTAAGGCGTCTAAGTGGGTGTGGGTAGTTGTGCCTTACAGAGTAGTGGCTGGGGCACAGGCTGCCTCTTCCATCCCCTCAGTGTCCAGGTGGTCCCAAAGGATTTATTGGCAGAGTGACTCAGGGAGAACCTGGTTTAGATTCAATAACTCAAGGCACACTTCCCTTTTTAAGAGGAAAAACAGAGCAGTACCGGTGTCCCCAACAGACAGATCAAATAGGTCAAACGGGTAAGATGGAGATATCCTTTACCATGACTGATTCTAGACTAGTCTCAGTTGGGCCACTTTCTCATTTGCCAGGCTGAGGCACTCAGTCTCTGAGTGGCCAGGTCTTGTCCTGTGCCACTCAGGGATGTCTGCACCTGACTCTAATTGAGTGTTCAGTCCCCCAGAGTGTTTACTGGAGAGGCCCTGTTCTTAACTGACTGCCGGCCTGCCAGGCTTTGTGAGACAACTCAGAGAAGATATTCTAGTCACACCATAGGATCCATACCACCTACCTACCTCTGTGGAGAGATTTCAGAGCAAGGGGCTCAGGGCAGCCACAGTTCCTTCAAGGGGTCAGCAGCATCAGTCCAGAGGCACAGACCACACAAAAGGAGAGTCCCCTCCAAGAATTCCTCTCCCAGTCCCCAGTGTGGATGCGTGAGCCTGGATGAACCGCTGCCGACTGCTCCATCGGTGGGGAACCAGGTAAGCAGACGACAGGACCTCAGAAGGACAACAGTCCCATCTGCATTGCCAGATTTGTAACCCAAGTAACAAGAGTTTGCTCCTTGGTGTGTCCCAGATAGAAACTACATCAGGTGGAGTTGTTGCACAAAGAGGGTCATGGCGAGTGACTTCCAAAACCTGACTTCCCGAGCAAGGGTAAATGGGTTCCTCTGTTTAGGAATAGGATGAATATTTAGATAGGGAAGCCTCGTCCGCCACAGCTCACACACACACACACACACACACACACACACACACACACACACACACTCTCTCTCTCACTCTCTCGCATGCGCACGTACTTTCACTTAAATAAACTTTCCCACTGTGTTGTGTCTGTCCTTGAGTTCTTTCTTGTGATGAGACCAAGAACCTTCGGTGGCATCTTTGGGAGGGCTCTGGGGTCAAGGCTCCATGGCCCAGGATCTCCTCAGTTCACCCAGCAGCAATTTCTATATACCCCATGTTAATTTTCCCTATTTTTAACATCTTACGTAAGTGTGGTACATTTGTCCCAATTAATAAGCCAATAAAGTCTGTATTTTCTCAGTTTTTCTGTAATGTTCTTTGTTCTGTGTTCCTTTCTAGGATACTGTACTACATTTAGTAGTCGTATCTGCTTAAGAGCCTCATGGCTGTGATCAGTTTCAAAACTCTCACTTCCTAATTAATTTCCTTCCTTTTACTCATATCTCAGTTCTCTAGGCTATTTATCTATCAGTATGGTAAAAATACTGTATTTCTTCCCAACTCTATGCAGTGACATCATGTGGGTAGTTTGAAATTGGCCATGGCAGGAGTATTTATGCCTCTAAAATTGGCAAAAAAGTCAGAGCTTTTTTAAAAAAATTATTTATTTATTTTTTTGAGAGCCTGTTATTCGATATTTTCCTCTGTTGGCACTACCTCTATGTGGCCGTCTCTTTTCAGGAGCCAATAGGACAGTGTCCCATAGGAAGGCATTTTACCCACTGGTGTACAGAGTATTTGTAGGCAGGTAAATCCAGGAGCTGTAGGGGAGGCAAGATGTAGGGGAGTCATTTATGACTCATCTCTGTTTTGTTATTTCTCAGTTGTATCTGCACAGGACTCTATGCTTTTGTAAGAACGGCAGAAAATGGACAAATCCCAGGTGAGTTGTTTTTTATTATTATTTCCTACTTTGTTTACATTAGATCTTCTGAATAAGGTATAACCATTAAGATGTAAATGTAGAAATAGGTACATGTCAACTTAGGAGGAAATATGGAGTAGCAGATTAGTAGCAGAGCTAAGGGCACAGTGTGGCAGTAACCTTCAAGTGCTTGAAGTTTCTATGCTGAGCTCTACATTTGTCTTGGATAGCAGTAGCAACCATTACTATAGGAAGTAGCAAACATTATTACAGGAAGTGCAATGAAAATAAGAATAAACCATAATGATTCTTAATGGGACATAAAGACTGTCCTGAAACTGAAGTCTGAGAACATGGTAGAAAAAGAGGACATATTGCCAAAGCATAGCTGATTTAGATTATCAAGAGATCATACTACTCAGATCTAAACAATGAGCTGTTCATGGTCCACTCAAATCTGGGATAAAACCTTCTAGTATCTTGAGAAGTGATGAAGGGCAATAGAAATAATTTACTGTAACTCTTCATGAAAATGGTTTTGGTTTTTGTTTAGAATTTCATGTGCTGGTTTTCAGCAGGAAGTTCAAATTATATTCCCTGGAAAATATTTCTGCACATCATGTTTCCATTTTAACCCATTGCATGCAATTTTGGTTCTTTCCCACCACCTGCCTGAATTTGTTCTGGTGAAAATTCACCAGTGAATGTGATCTTACTGCTTGGCAACATTTCTTCTTTTCCAATAAAGCATTTAATATTTTAAATTTCCATCTAAGCACTACTTTAATTGCATCTCACAAGTTTTTGTAAGTTGTGTTTTCACCTTGATTCCACGTAAAATATTTTCTATTTCCTTTGAAACTTCTGTTCAACCCTGGGGTTATGTAGAATTGTGTTATTTAATTCCCAAGTAATTGGAGATATCCAGAGATTTTTCTGTTACAGATTTCTAGTTTGGCCAACAAACATAATATGTATGATTTCCTTCCTTGTAATTTCATCGAGATTTGTTTTATGTCCCAGAATACAGTCTATTTTGATGACTATCCCACTTGCGCTTAAAAATAAAAGTATATTCTACAGTTGTGGGGTGGCATGTTTGGTAAATGTCACTTAGGTTTAGTTAAGTGATGGTGTTGTTTAGGTCTTCTGTAGTCTTTCCAATTACCTCTTTTTTTAAAAAAAAATTTTTTTTTTTCAACGTTTATTTTTGGGACAGAGAGAGACAGAGCATGAACGGGGGAGGGGCAGAGAGAGAGGGAGACACAGAATCGGAAACAGGCTCCAGGCTCCGAGCCATCAGCCCAGAGCCCGACGCGGGGCTCGAACTCACGGACCGCGAGATCGTGACCTGGCTGAAGTCGGACGCTCAACCGACTGCGCCACCCAGGCGCCCCTCCAATTACCTCTTTACTTCTGTTAATTACTGAGAGAAATATTGAAGTCTCCAACTGTATTACTCTGTTTCTCCTTTCAGTCTTATCAGTGTTTACCTCCTATTTTGAAGATCCTTTGATAGGTGATATATATTTGATTTTGTCTGGGAAAATTGACCCTTTATCATTAAAGTAATGTGCCTACTTATTTTGATAATATCTCATATAGTCTATTTTGTCTGATATTAACATAGCTACTCCAGCTTTCTTTGGATTATTGTTTGTGTTGTATTTCTCCATTTATCTTTTTTTTTAAAAAGTTTTTTAATGTTTATTTATTTTTGAGGGAGAGAGTGAGAGCGTGAGTGGGGTAGGGCCAGAGAGAGGGAGACACAGAATTGGAAGGAGGCTCCCAGCTCTGAGATGTCAACACAGAGCCCAATGTGGGGCTCAAACCATGAACTGTGAGAACATGACCTGAGCTGAAGTCGGACACCCAACCGACTGAGCCACCCAGGCGCCCCATCCATTTATCTTTAATGTATGTGTTTTTATAGGTAAAGTTGAGTTTCTTCTAGACAGTATGTAATTTGTCCTACTTTTTTTAAAATCCAATCTGACAATCTCTTTATCTGGTATGATCAGAATATCCACATTTAAAAATTGATTATTTAATTAATTTTTTTTTTTTAATTTTTCCAACGTTTTTATTTATTTTTGGGACAGAGAGAGACAGAGCATGAACGGGCGAGGGGCAGAGAGAGAGGGAGATACAGAATCGGAAACAGGCTCCAGACTCTGAGCCATCAGCCCAGAGCCCGACGCGGGGCTCGAACTCACGGACCGCGAGATCGTGACCTGGCTGAAGTCGGACGCTTAACCGACTGTGCCACCCAGGCGCCCCTAAAAATTGATTATTGACATGTAGGTTAAAATCTTCCATTTTGCTATTTTTCTATTTGTTCTTTATCTTTGTCTTTTTCTTTTATTGGATTTTAGTTGAGTGTTTTCTATTATTCCATTTTATCCTTGCTATTAACTTATTATTTATACCTCTTTTTTTAAGTTTTAAAATAACCAAGGACTTGGGTGCCTGGGTGGCTCATTTGGTTGAGTGTCTGACTTTGGCTCAGGTCATGATCTCACCTTGAGTTTGAGCCCCGCATCAGGCTCTGTGCTGACAGCTCAGAGCCTGGAGTCTGCTTCAAATTCTGTTTCCTTCTCTCTCTACCCCTCCCGCCCCTCACTCTCTCTCACTTTCTCTCTCAAAAATAAATAAACATTAAAAAAAATTTTTTTTTAAATAGCCAAGGACTTACAACACACATTTTTAATCAGATTTATTAATTTAAACCAAATATTAAACCACATGATGGATATAGTATAATGACCGGACAACAGTATATTTCCCAGTTCTTCCTTCCTGCCCTTTGTGTTATTTTTTACTTTACTTTAACATATTTTATTTTTTACTTTAACCTATGCTATATACACATAGTACAATTCTACTATTTTTCCTTTGGACAGTTTAGCAACCTACAGCCCCCGTGCAACCACCAGTTTGTTTTCCATGTTTATGGGTCTGTTTCTCTCTTTTTTGTTGTTGTTAGGAGTCTTTTTTTTTCTGTTGTTTGCTCGTTTTTTAGATTCTACATGTAAGTGAAATATAAATGAAATTATGTGGTATTTGTCTTTCCCTGTCTGATTTCACTTAGTATAATACTCTCTAGGTTCAACCATGTTATCACAAATATGCAAGCTCTGATTCTTTTTTGTGGCTGAGTAATAATTCCATTGTGTATGTATACTACATCTTTATCCAGTCATTTATCAGTGGACACTATTGTTGCTTCCATATCCTGGCAATTGTAAATAAATACGGGAGTGTACATATCTTCTTGAAGTAGTATGTTTGTTTTCTTTGGGGGGATACCCAGTAGTAGAATTACTGGGTTGTATAGTATTTCTATGTTTAATTATTTGAGGAACTTGTAGATTGCTTTGCATAGTATGAAAAACAGTGGCGGCAACGCTTTACTTTCCCACCATTCTGCCCACTTTTTGCTTGGATTATTTAGGGTTTTTTAATGTTTTTAAGAATGCTTTATATATTTTGGATATTAACCCCTGATCAGACATGTCATTTTGCAAATATTTTCTCCCTTTTATTTGGCTGCCTTTTTATCTTGTTGTTGGTTTCCTTCACTGTGCAAACGCTTTTCAGTTTGAGGTATTTCTGTTTATTTTTGCTTTTATTTCCTTTGCATAAGGAGATTGATCAGAAAAGTATTGCTAAAGTTGATATCCAAGATATTACTTTCTGTATTTTCTTTTCAGAGTTTTATGGTTTCAAGTTTTACATTTGGGTCTTTAATCTATTTTGAGATTATTTTTGTCTGTAGTGGTGCAGTTTCTTTCTTTCGCGTGTCGCTGTCCAGTTTTCCCAGCAGCATTTATTGAAGCAGATGTCTTCCCCATTGTATATTCTTGCCTCCATTGTCATAGATGAAGTGGTAGTGTGTGTGTGTGTGTGTGTGTGTGTGTGTGTGTGTGTGTATGTATGTGTGTATGTGTGTGTACACATACACACACACAGACACGCACATACACATACAGGTTTATCTCTGGACTCACAATTCTGTTCCATTGACCTACGTATGTATTTTTGCAACAGTATCATACTGTTTTGATTACTCTGTCTTTGTAGTATTTCTGGAAATTTAGGATTGTGATACTTCCAGCATTGTTCTTTCACGACATTCTTTGGCTATTTGAGATCTTTCATGGTTCCATACAAATTTTAGGATTTTTTGTTCTAGTTTTGTGAAAAACAGTATTGGTATTTCGATAGGGATTGCAGATCTGTACACTGCATTGCATAGTATGGACATTTTATTTTAATTTTTTTTAATGTTTATTTTTGAGAGAGAGACAGAGCATGAGAGGGGGAGGGGAAGAGAGAGAGCAAGGGAGACACAGAATCTGAAGCAGGCTTCAGGCTCTGAGCTGTCAGCACAGAGCCTGACGTGGGGCTCGAACTTACAAGCTGTGAGATCATGACCTGAGCCGAAGTCGGATGCTCAACCGATTGAGCCACGCAGGCGCCCCGTTTTCTGTTTTGTTATTAACGCAACAGATTTATGTGATTGATTTTGTATCCTGCAACTTTACTAATTCATTTATTAGACCTAATATTTTTTTGCTGGGGTTTTTAGCTTTTTCTATATGTAGTATTATATCATTTGCAAGTACTGACAGTTTGATTTCTACCTTACCAATTCAAATGCCTTTTATTTCTTTTACTTGTCTGATTGCTGTGGTTAAGAATGCCAGTACTATGTTGAATAAATTGATGAGACTGGACATTCTTGTCTTGTTCCTGATCTCAGGGCAACAGCTTTCAGATTTTCACCATTGACTATGACATTGATTGATTTGTGTATATTGAACCATCCTTCCATCCCTGGAAAAAATCCCACCTGATTGTGAGTGATTTTTTGAATATATTGTTGGATTAAGTTTGCTAGTATTTTGCTGAGGATTTCTTTTTGTGTGTGTGTCTTTGTCTGGTTTTTCTATCAGACTAATGCTGGCTTCAGAGAGTAAATTAGGAAGCATTCCTTCCTCTTCTCTGTTTTGGAA